AGTTGGGCATCGATGCGGAATAGCTGACGGGTGACTAGTTATTGAGGAGAACGGCGTGCGTCTTCGCTTGAACATTGTCGACACACCTGGTTACGGTGACCAGGTCAACAACGATCGATGGTAATTCAAGCCCCATGAAGATGGAGCTACTAGGTCTAAGCTAATCATGATCAGCTGGGACCCCATTGTCAAGTACATTAAGGATCAACACTCGGCATACCTGCGCAAGGAACTCACCGCTCAGCGTGAGCGTTACATCCAAGATACTCGTGTTCACTGCTGCTTGTTCTTCATCCAGCCCTCCGGCCATGCGTGAGCTTACCCCGCGCATTCCTTAGCTTCCTGGGAGCTCCTTTGGACTAACCCATTGACCCCGCATAGCCTCAAGCCCATCGATATCGTTGTTCTGAAGAAGCTCTCCGATGTCGTCAACGTTGTTCCCGTTATTGCCAAGTCCGACTCCCTCACCCTCGAAGAGCGTCAGGCCTTCAAGGAGCGCATCAAGGAGGAGTTCGCCTTCCACAACCTGAAGATGTACCCTTACGATAATGACGAGCTCGATGATGAGGAGCGTGCTATCAACGCTCAGATCAAGGTATGCTCGACCCAGGTAGAGCTGTTCTGATTGGATATTGACCTCTGGTTACAGGACATCATTCCTTTCTCGGTTGTTGGCAGTGAGAAGACCATTGTTGTCAACGGCAAGCAGGTTCGCGGCCGCCAGAACCGCTGGGGTGTCATTAACGTCGAAGACGAGAACCACTGTGAATTCGTCTACCTGCGCAACTTCCTGACCCGCACCCACCTTCAGGATCTGGTCGAGACTACCAGCCAGATCCACTACGAGACCTTCCGTGCCAAGCAGCTGCTTGCCCTGAAGGAAAGCAGCGCTGCCGGTGGTGGCCACACCGGTGGAAACCGGCCCATCAGCCCCTCCGCGGACCGAGAGCTGAGCCGCAACTCGCAGCGCACAGGCATGAACGGATACTAAACGCTGATCTTTCATGTCTGATGTGAGCGCTGTGACCGTTGCGCGACGGCGCTCTTCGAAAACTTACTGTCCTCTTTTGACGCCAGCAGGCCCTTGCAGATATCCCATTTTTCCTTTCTTTTGCGTTTTGTTTTTGTCGTATCCTACATCCCATCTTGTGTCTTCTTGGGAGAACCATTGAGCTTGTATTGCCGGGGAAAAAGAGAATTGGCGCTCCCGTGCTCGTGCCATCTCTGGTGCTTTCCATGTACTTAGTTTTCTTAATTTTAACTTGACGAGAGAAACTTCTATTCTTGGATTGAAAGATATCAAACGGGGCTGTCGCCTTTTTGGCCATGTCGACTAAATCACATTTCCTATGCATAATGTAGTGTACTATTGCGCAGCACCGAACTTACCACCGTCAACAACCCAATCCCGCAGCTCAACGTATGCTTTCTCCAGATCGTCATTCACAACGATCCTATCGTGAGCCTCCGGTAGCTTTGCATACTCAAGCTCGTTCTGGGCTTGGGTGAGTCTTTTCTGTAGAGATTCCTCGGTCTCAGTGCCACGGCCACGGAGACGCTGCTCCAACACCTCGAGAGAAGGCGGGGCAAGGAACAAGAAACGCTATAGATCATCAGTAGAGCCCCATTATCGGATTGTCTAGGACACCTACCGCATTGAGGTCCGTCAGCTTCACCTGTTTGACTCCTTCCATCTCAATGTCGAGTATGCAGATGCGCTTCTTCTCGGCGATATTCTTGACAGCCTGGACAGATGTTCCATAGTAGTTTCCGCCAAATTGAGCTGCGCTATCCGTTAACTAACGTCCGAACTCTCTTCTTGTAGCGTGCGCAGTGTCCACCAACCATGTTCGATAAACCCGTTGTTGGCCACTAGGTCGAGGAATGCCTCTTTCGTGACGAAGTTATATTCACGGCCATGTTGCTCGCCGGGTCTCGGGGATCGTGTGGTTTCTATTCAGGGAGCGCGTGAGCAAAGCCGTTTGCGAATTTGTTTAACCCCTCCCTTTGTGTTGGCACCGACCCGAGATAGAAAATCCAAACTTATCGGGGTACTCGGCGAACAAGCGCTTGAGCAGAGTCGACTTTCCGGTCCCCGATGGGCCGGAAATCACAATAGGGCGGTAGGCTTTAGTATAGAAGTGGTCCTGTCAGTTGTGTCTGCGTCGCATGGGGTTGTGTTCTGCCATGGTGCATTTCTACTTACCAGCGGAGGCCATTGTAGATGCAGAGTGAGTCGCGCGTACTAATGGTTTGAAAAACGCTGAAAAACCACGGAAGGACAAGAGAGGCATATAAGGACTGAAATAAAAATGAATAAAGCGATTATTTAGCTGAAGACGGCTTTGTTCCGTCCAAATACAGCTTAGCCTGTTTATTTAATAGGAAGGCGGAACAAATTCATCTGGGCCTTTGTATTTCTTGGCACTGGCTATTATATAGGTTGTATACATGCGAGGTATCAAACATAAGGATCAAAGGACAAATACCAATGTATCAAAGTATCAATATCCAAGTACTTGGCCTTCCTGCTTTATACATACATTTCTGCACTCGATCATTTGGGAGGCAGGGTTTGGTGGCTTCCTCGTCGCGATGGATTCATATTACCCACCTCGGCTTCTTGCTCCAGGAAATTAGACCATAGTTCGGCTAATGTCTCTTTACTAGAGGCACCGTTGTCCATGAACTCCGCTAGGTTTGGCGTGCTCGGCGTGCGGAGGGGAGTGCCAGGGACTCGGAGCTTCCCGGGCATACTCGAGGTCCCTGGGCGAGCAAGACCTGCCTGTTCACGTTGCTCTATTGATAATTAGATCGGCTCGAGAAATTTTTATTTGCATTTAGCAGTACTCACCGTCGTTCCAGCCTAATAGGGCAGCGATCAGTTGCAATATTTGGAATTTCTTCGGATCAGATCGGTCCAAAGCAAGGAAGTGCAGGAAATGGTTCGTGACAATATGTCTGTATGAAGTCAGTGTGCAATTGAGGTAGTTTGAGATAACAAGGACATACCTGTCAACATTATCTTCCGGCTTTCCTTTTTTGAGGAACCGTAGAGCTTTTGTCAGATGATCATTCAACGTGACTGCCTCATGCCGTAGCTTGCCAATCAGCAGGTTCTTCTCCTTGACCTCTTTCTCAAATGGTCGGACTCGCTCAATCTCTTCTTGGGCCTTCTGCAGACCCTTGTCAGCGTCAGTGGCCTGCTTCTGTGCTTCCCGTAGAGAGCGTCTGAGCTCCTCGAGTTGAGAATCAGAGCTCTCGACAAGCTCCCGCAGCTCTTGCTTTCGCGCCAATTGAATTTCCTGCAAAGCCCGCTGAAGGCCGTCAACTGTTGACTGTTGGGTGTCGCGTTCCTGGGTGGCGCGTTCATAACCATCTCTCAGGCTACTGAGCTGCTCCTCCAGATCCCCGACCTTCTCGTTGAGGTTCTCTCGGATAGACCGCTCCTCCATGGCAAGGATTTCCCAATTATGCATAGCCTCCTTCGCCTGTTCAAACTCCGACTGGAGGTATGACTCCTGCGAGAGCAATTCTTCCTTCTCCTTGAACCAATTCTGCTGGGATAAGTTCGTCCGGTCCCGAAGAGTAGACAGCTCCTTCTCTCTCTCTGCTGAGTCGCCCGATAGTTCTAACAGTTGGTTGGACTTTGAATCGAGCTCTTCCTTCAAGTGGTCGTTCTCATCTTCGAGCTCTTCGATCTGTGATCGTGCTAGAGATAATTCCTCCTATAGGGCAAGATTAGCCAAAAAGCCCGAGTAGTGAGTTCTGAGCCACGCACAGCATCCTCCTTGAGTCTCTCCCCTAATTGCGATTTTATGGTGTTAACTCGTTCCAAGAGCATCTGGAACTGCGTTTCCGCCTGCTCCTTTTTGCTCTCCGCGTCCTCCAATTTCTGCTGCAGGGCTTCCATGTCTGCGGTGTGCTTGGACTGAATCTGTTCCAATGATTTTCGCATATCGGCTACTTCCGCGCGTAACGAGTCGCGATCTCGAACAAGTGCATCGAATCGGTCCTTTGGCTCGGTGCCATCGGAAGCGGGGTCGGACTGGCTATCGGTTCGTGGGGGGGCATCGCTAGTAGCCACGGGCTCCTGGTTCTTGACAGACCGATCAGGCAGGCTGCCGTCTATCGTGGCGGGCTTGGCGCCGTTGGATTCTGGCACTTGTACGGCCTCGTTGGCATCATTGTGCTCGTTCTTGTAGGGTCTCAGCAAAGGTACAATGACAATCGGGGGATGTTTACCACATACATCAGTGTCATTGTGATCGGCTGGCGCATCCTCTTGGGGCTCGTCGGCCTTGGAGTCGGCCTTGGCTTTCGCGGCCTTCTTCTTGTTCTTCTTGGACTTTGCGCCTTTTGCGGGGTCAGCGGGTTCCAATTCACAAAATGGATGCCCTTACTTGGTGTAGCAGACGGTGGAATTCCCTCGCTCATGCTGTGTGGTGTTTGGAAAGGCCTTGGGAGAGGAAGATGGTGAATTCCTAAGGTTACAGGGTAAGCTGTCAACACGGCTTAGCGCCCTTTCCGCCCTATGGCTCGATGATTAATCTATCAACCTCCCTAGGGCTATTCTACTTCTCTAGGGTTGTCTTTTTAATTTAATTTTCACTTTTAATTTGGTGTGTTTTTTTGGCCTGTATCTACCTCGACATGTTTGGATCTTTTATGGTTCTGTACTTAAGTGCGTATGGGGCACACTGCGAGCCTCGTAGTTCCCCATAGTATGCCAAGGGAATTCACCTATGGTGTATGTCCATTGAAAAATAATCCTAGCATGCTTACGACATTAGTAAGACGTCGGGTTTTGAGTATTTATCTATCTCGCTATATCATTGTATATGACCGAAGTAGATAAAAAGAGGCAACAGGGATAAGAGGACTGCTTTGTTGTACTCATATCAATTATCCTCCGTGGTATAGAATGCAGAGGGTATAATTTTCAGTTCGCTGGCTGTGAAAAGTACACACAGGAAAAGGTCATATTCCACCGGTGTCCATCACATGAAGTCGTCGAGGAAATCCTCATCACGGTCCTGGTTGTTGCTGGCCTCCAGGTTCTCTTCCGTGAACATATCATCATATGCATGATCTTTCTGCCACTTGAGCTGTTCATACTCTTGCTGCTTCTTCTTTTCCTTCACACGCTGTTCATCTCGGGCCTTGCGATCACCGCGCTGCTTCTTCTTCGTGTCCTCTTCCTTCTCGGCTCGGAGATCGGGGTACTTCTCAACTCGGGTCTTGTTCAACCGGTTGACAATTGGGTTCTCCCGCTGCTTGACATAGACCTTGCGGACCAGCTTGTGATTGTGGAATGTGACTTGACCGGCCGCCATTGACCCGTCTTTCTTTAGGTTTGACCATGGTGTGTAGATAATGGTAATGTTGTCCTTCTTGTTTCCTTCCCAGAAGTCAGTCTCCATCGGTACGAATGCTTGGATTCATGTCGAGGACTGACCTTCAATGGAGTTCGCTTTCGTGAGCTGGGCGCAGTCCTCTAGAAGCGGCGCGGCGATGTTGTCCCATGTTTCGCCTTCTCGAAGGCGTACGTAGACGTGTGCACTTGACAAATTGTCGACGTGGAACTGCAAGTGTATAGGGTTAGGGCGATTGGCGTTGTCGCAAGTCGGACGGGGAAAGACTGACCCTGTTGCGAATATCAGCCCCGAAGTTCTACAAATATATACCGGGGAACATACCAGACATCATTGTCCAATCCATATTTTATGAGTTCCTCGTCTGACACCATTGTTAGAAGTTTATTCCCTAGGTTGACCAAGTCGGTGACATACTCTCGAATTTGTCCTTGCCGACATAAATAAAGGCGGAGGGCTCAACGACATTCGATGTGAAATAGAACACCATGGCGACGATATCCAATCCTTCTTTTCTTTCAAATGACCTTGTTCGGGCAAATCGGGTTCTCACAATTCGTGATCGGCGCAGGTCAAAAGTTGAAATGGCGCGCTGGTGGGGGAATCTTTATCTATAGCTTAGTCAGCAGTATAGATCTCCAGGGCTCCAGGCCTCCAGCAGGGCTAGAAGCCTTATTCGCCCTCGAGATGTCAAAAAAATAAAGCTGGGCAACTCTTATCCGTGTTTTCCGGTCAATTTGGTTAAGCTTGGCTTTTATGTGAATATGCAAATACCTGTGTCTGGGAACTACAGGGTAGTTATTGTTTGTATAAAAAGCAAGGGAAAGAGACTGAGCACAGTTTGTAACTCCTTTAAGATGGAGTATGAACCTTATCCAAATCCTATAGACTACGTGAAACCTCGCCTTTGACATTGTCTAGAATATTTGAATTCGCAATCTTTGCCTAGTTTTTATGTATAGAACCTGCACCCGTGTGTAGCTTTAGAATGCAAGAGAATAGCTAGATAGACGGGGTAGAACAAGCAAAAAGTGCGAGACTTTATAATTGACATATAACTAGCCCTGAAGAGCTTGGTACGCAAGAAAGAGCCCCGTGGGTTGTTCATCAGCAGAGTCAAGTAACAACAATCGAAAGCAACGATGGACTTGACCATCTGAACGTAAAACAAATCATACTACTGGTATATTAGCTTTTGTGGTCAATGACAGCACTCGAGAATCAATTAGTGCAATCGATCAATAATCCCATTATGTGCCATGCCCGTATCATTCCAAGTTTCTCTCGGTCAACGAAAGCTACTCCAGGCCAAGACACCAGTTCAGGAAGAGACTCAAATGATCAACGAATAATCAGGCCGGTAAGGCAACGGTATCAGTGGCTCGGAATATTCACATTGCTAGTTCTGTCTGAAATATCAGACGAGATTTCGCTAGGGTTCGCACAGCCCATAAGATCTCCTTGGCCATACCGGATGGGTTCGTGATCAGGATCCTGCTCTGACCCTACCATTTCCAAAATGACAGCTAACAGAAGTTGTGCCACATCCTCACCGAGTACCGCATTGCGCGGGCTATTTTAGCTCAAGTATGTTGCCACCATTTGAGAGTATTCTTCAATCACGGATGCAGGTTTGGAACTTCGCAGACTTCCAATCTGCATTCGAGGCAATATGTGGCACAATTGGTACGTTCCGCAGAGAATTCCTTGGAATGTTATCTAAGGTAAGGTCGTTTCTTGTCACTTGAAGGTCCGTGTGGGTCTTGTTTGGGGTGGTCCTATTGAGCTTGGTATTAGCAGAGTCAAAATTTAACTCCTGAAACTTCAAAGTCTGACGCAGCTCACTGTAGCAGGGTTCACGACCTCCATGACCTTATCATACTGGCATGCGGCCGAGACCGGGAAAATGCCCTGATCCCTCGAAGTACCATGGCAGATGCTTTCTGTCGGACATCATTCTTGCTTCTTCTCGTGTTAGGCCGCATTACCCCATGAATTGCCGCTATTCCAGAGCCAGAGCTGCCTGCTAAAGTGGGTTGCGAGTTGGCAGTACTAGGTTCAACCTAAAGAGCAGAGATAAAGCAAGGAACCAAGCTCTTCAGGAATGTGAGATTGAAGGAAGGGAAGATGCTCGAAGGGGGAAGCCGGGGCCTTGGGACATTTAGAGTTGCGCTTTTATGTGGACCGTGTTCCAGGCACCTCCCGCTTTTTCTTCACTTTGTTCTGTGTTGTCCTTCTCTCTGACTTCTCTGAAAAGAATCTATCCGGTCTAGGCTGCTGGCGTTGACCGGCAAATGCTTGCTCTCGAACATTTGCCGTCTTTTGGTCACCCCTAGCCTTCCTACGCTTCCCGCTTACGCTTCTTAGGGCTTGGGATATCGCATCCCTCGATATGCATGTTTGCTTCAAGCTCGACATATTCGAACGACCGAGATCACATCGAAGAGTCTAATTCACACAATTGGACCAAAACAATGGCGTGTGCACTCGCCAGAACGCATCAAATGCCTCATGTCATGTCTGCAACGCGTTGCCTCTGTCGAAAGGGGTAAACAGACATTTGCGGGAATAAAAATAATGAAAATAAAAAAAGGACACCTGAATGCGACATCGGGACTCATACAGAATGTGATTTCGTGCCCGGACTGCAACGGAGAGGATACCCGGCAATTTTGATATTCCTAGAAACACAGCGTTTGGGTTTCGGACGAATCACCCCTGAGATTCGACGGTTAAAGGCGCTCGTGACCGAAAACAAGAACTGTGTGAGGTCTCGGAAGTCAGTACGTATCGTCATGGCACGCATGGTGAGATCAACCGCCCTTTCACCAGGATAAAAATGTGAACGAATAAATCATATGTAAGTGGAAAATCCGAAACGGAACAGCGCTAACGCAATGTTTATATCGAACTCGGCAATGATTGGAATGCTTCGGAGAATCCAAGTCCCACGAGCCTCAAGGACCATAAGGACCGGAGCACCGGTTCCACTTAACTGATGCACCGGACATTGCTCTGGGGCCATTAACGCCCCCCCCCCCCTTTCTCCAACCACAGTCGACGGCTTGAAGCGACACTGACCCTTGAACCCTATAACTCCTCGACGAATCACCTTCACGTTCGTGACGGTTTCCACCCGTCTCCACCGTGTCTCATCTGGGTCCTAGACGGCTTAGTTCGATGCTAGCCGGAGCATGTCATTAAAATTGCCCGAGAAAACCGTTACGCCAAGGGAGCGCGGCGCAATCCCGAGCCCATGCAAACTACACCCTTGTGGCCTTATGGATTATGTGTCTTTCCAGGTCTCGCCAATGGCGTGTGGTCCCATTCACGTCTCTAGGAGAAAGGAGAACCGTTGGACTTCCCTTGGACTTATCTTCTCATCTGTGGACTCCAATTTCGGGGTAAAGTCCGATCTGTTCCTGAACCTCGTCCCACAGCCTACAGGTCAACTAATTCCATCTGCATTTACCTCGCTATCGGATGTCACACTCATGAATATAGGTTTCGGGACTACTGGCCCGGTTTTTCCCCCCCTCCCCTCCCTCTCCCGTTGCTCCACACCTGTTCCCATTTAATTATTGAGAAAAAAGATTCGGATTTTCTTGTTTGGTCTTATGCAAAGTCTCATCTCTTCCGCATTCTACTTGGCCTGAAACCCTTTTCGCTTGTGACGAGCCCTCGCGGCGCACATCTTCCCTTTTCTCCCAAGTTTCCCCCCAACAAAAACATCAATCGTGAAAACCTCCCTCACCAACGACCCTCAAACACAGCACACCACCAGCTGAACACCCCCCTCACCAACGATATGGCCAACCTTCCTCTATCACGAAACTGGCCGGAGATTCGACAGGCTCTAGAACACGCTCGCGAATGCGAAGATGGCCCCGTGAATGCCCAATCGGCCGCCGTCCTGGAGGCTGCCATTACCGAACTGTGGAATCGCATCCAAGCCCAACCAGATAGCTATGTGCTCACGCCAGACGAGTTCGCCCTCTTCAATTACTTCCTTACCACACGCTACCGTGGCTCGCCCGTCGCCCAGAGCGCCGTGGCTCGTTTCTGGAACAACTACCAAGGAAATACGAACTACGATGGCGTCGCCAACTAGCTACGCTTGAATTGCCGGTCCATCGGTACGCGATGCTAGCACTGGCCAAGAGGGTCTTCCATTTCCTTCTCCGAGGTTCTGCATGATGTCTCTGGAACTTGCGCGGTACAGCGAGACGAGTGCGGGTGTGGGTTCGAAGGTGCCCAATGTCCTACATCACGAGACACGTTACTCTCCTCCGTCGCATTCTACTCGCATAGTACTGGTGCACCACGGCAAGTTCCAGCTTCGAGCCGACCAGAGCCCACAGCTAGAACCAGAATCAGATCCCGCCGGGATATACCGCTTCATTTCCTTCCCATGCGACATCTGCACGGAGATCAACACGGTTGGTCTACATTGCGTGCAAGACAAACGATGGAGTTGGGATTTGCCTTGGGGAGATCATTGGATCGAATCCATGTGATTTCAATACACAGCAAATCCAGCAAATCGAAGGACCGGTTTTCCTGGTCACGCCCTTCTTTCCCCAATCCTCGGGGAAATGGTGTGATGATGGCATGCATGTATGCCTTGCCGTTGTTCTGTTTCCACTTTTCCTCTGCACCCTTCGGGGCCTTTGCTGTACAGGGAATAAGTATGGGGCCCTGATCCCTGTCTTGATTGGGACACAATACATACGTCGGGCTTCTACGCAAAAAAAGAGGGGAACCCAATATATGGGAGCAGCACTTGGGCTAAAAATATAATTTAGTTAATAAGAATCATTTATCAGACGTCAGGAAGTGGATATTATTTCAGCTGTAGCTTACGGAGTACGGAGTAGCTATTGTTACTTTGGTTACGGGGTTTGCTATATATCCCCGCTTCTTTGACTTTTGATTTAAATTCTTGTTTCTGCTTTTATTTTGCGTTGTTGGCATTATTTAATTCTCTCTATTCTTCTCGAAACACGATACTAACACTAACATAATTAACATATCAATCTAGTCCGAGATGGTGTTACATACCAACGGGTATGCGACCTCGGGACCTTCCAACGGAGTACGGACGGAGTAGCTGCAGCCAATTCCCCGAGCCCACTAACTCCCAGGGGGTTACCATATGCGAGTCATTCATTAACTAACTAGCTTTTATGGGCCACGTACGGAGTACTGTTAATGTCTATCAGGAAGCATTATCCACATACATACTCCGTAGGATGTCTGGCAATTTCCCATTTGCCCCCCTCCCCCCCCCTATTTTGATCCTTAACTCTCGTTTTGTGTGCTGGATGGAGTACGCCCCTGCACAGCCTCGGCTTTTCATCGGCTAATCCGGGCTGCAAGGCCGGAATAGATAAAGACGACATTGTTAGTTGTATAGTTGGAGTTATATAACAACGTGACGTAAACCCTAAATGATTTGAAACCGATCACGTGATGTAAATCTCCCGGCCGAGGAAATATAGGAACCAGCTAACTACGGAGTCCGCCGTACTATCTCTAACTTTAGGTATGGCCTGATTCTCCGAAAAGGACAGCTGGACGAATAAATTTAATCTTATGCTTTCTCCGCTGCATAAAAGATGTCATTTGTCTTCCCTGAAATCCTGAAACTGCCTTTGATCCGATCGGGAGGACAAGGATCCCTTGTGAGATCTAGCACATGCCACTTAGCCGTTGAAGGGTAGCAGCCGCAGACTCTCGGCTACTTGCATATCGCCTACATCTGTGAAACTGTGCAAGAGAACTCAATTTATTCTATACAATGTAGCTGGATAGTTCTCTGCGTCGTATGTTCTTCGTGCTTCGTTAATGCTGTGACCCGAGTGTAATTGCCCATTTCCAAACCTAGCCTACCCATCCCCCATCCAAATCATTTTCTTTGTGGCTGTAAGACTGCCTCAGTAGAGGGAGTTGTCGGCACATGAGAAGCTACCTCCTCCAACACCCTCGCGAAGGTTGTTAAAGATCGACCGAATAGACGAGTACAACCCGACAATGCACTGGTGGGGTAGGTTAACTCGATCCTTCAAACCACAGTGGAGCTCAACTTACAATGACGAATCCAAGAAACACCAGAAAAAGATTGAAGCCAAAGAATGCCCTCTGTCGCCAGGTCATGTACCAACAAGTTCGGTTCAGATAGAGCCAGAATAGCCCAGGTAGACCGAATGAAAACCAGCTAGCAAATAAGGAACTCTGGTTGGAATGATTAGTACTCGCTGCAGGTGGGGTCAGGGACAGGTAGTACACACCGCAAGCCCTAGTACATCGTTGAAAACCGGTATTGCCTCGGCGATGATCCACGACAAGATCCAAAGCCCCGCACATGTAACAGTCCACACTACCCGCGCCCTAAATGACTGGGTATGCATCGAGTTGGTTCCCCGGAAGACACGAACGTAAATGAACTTGACGGCAACATGGGCGTTCACCACACCCCCGATCAGAATCTGTCCATTAATTAGCTCATATCCGAAGAAGCCCACGGGGAAAAAGTACGTACCGTAGGTAGTGCGATTGCATAGGAGATCTTGCGAAACAATTGTCCTGAAGAATTGAGAGCAGGTGAGTTGACAGTTGGCCCAACATAGGCATATATCACAATAGAAGCCACTGTGTACAAGACCATTTCACTCATCTGCAGAAGCGCCAGAGCCTTCGGGAAGTCCTTGAGCTCTTTGAGCTCGGAGAAAAGGGTAAAGAATGCAACATGTCCTGCGTACGCAAATATGATGTTTGCAATAGCAAGGCAGGCATCATGCACTTTGGGCGGAGGCGAAAAAGCCGGGACCTCCACTGGGCCTTGTTTGACAAGGGTGACTCCAATCATACCAGTAAGAACCGCTCCGACGATACTCACAAAGCTCACGGAGGAGATGTGAGAAAGCCTCTCAAGTCGCCGTGGAAGGGTCAACATGAACGAGGCGAGTAGACCGACAACCGAAAATACGATGGTGCAGGATGAATGTTCGGTGAGAACGTTCATCATGATGGAAAAGGTGAGGATATGGCTTCCCATGACCAACACAAAAAAGACGAGCTGGGCCACATCCAGTGTAGTCCGTCCAACCCTTCCCATCAGAAGATCACCAGCATCAGCCATACTGTGCACTTGGACATGGCGGCATTTGAATCGCCCGATGGTATATGCGGTATACGTCGAGATGATCCCAACCCCGAGGATGGTTAGGATGCCGCTGAACAAACAGGTTAGCTCATCGGCCTTTGCAGTCAGCGGGGAGGAGAATGTACGGAACAAGACCTAGAACAGCAAGCGCTTTGGGCAGCGCGAGAATACCAAGCGAGATGGTTTCTGCGATCATGACTGACCGGTTTGTTAGAGAAGGCTGGACAATATGCAAGACATTGACTTACTCATGCCGGCTTGCCTGTTGAAAGGATAAGCTTCATCCTGCCTGTGGAAAAGGAAACACTTACCACCACGCCATGGTCTTGTACTTCACGCCAGATTGGCTTTCGTCTCCAAAGGGATCGGACTCCTCCAAATCTGGCTTTGGTACAACAGAATCGTTCTCTGGGTCCAACTTGCGCTTCACAGAGCGCAGCGACTGGAGGTCAATATCAGACTGATTGGTATTCATGGTGTGTGAGTGTGGACAAGATATAGGGAAATGGAGAGAAATGAGGGAATTGGAGAAATTGAAACTACGAGCAAGCTCAGGGTGGCACTTTCCGAATGTGAATGCGCGTGTTTTTGGAAAGCGTCATCTTAAGGTCTTGGATTGAGGGTCTTTTTCCAAAGTCCCTGGTTAAATAGTGTCAATATTGGAACAAAAAAAAGGAACGCTTCTATTTATACAAGCCGGTCTATATATGCCACACGTCTAACTGAGCGCGGGTGTTGCGGCAGGGGGTTCAATAGTAGCACGAACGTCACTCTCAATCATATCCGCGGGAGGTTCTAGAATGGTCAGCACTGTGGTTCATTGAATTGTTTGTTACAAACATACCTTTACGGGAGAAAGTCGCACGCTCGGCATCATCAACCTGCGTAACACGGCCATTCTGGACATCATGACGCGACAGGCCCATGAAGCTCTTAGGCAGACCCATGGATGAAAGGAAAGTCAAGGAATCCTTCCACTCGAGATCCTTACGGGCGTTGGTCCACTTCAACTCCTCGGCCATTGTGTCAATCACGGTGGGGAGGGATTCAAGGGCGGCCTCGGCGTTCAGGAAAGCCAGACGAGTGCGACGGGCAATCACGTCGACGGCAGTCTGGGCATACTCGTGACGAACGGCGTAGCGAATCTCACCATCAACGAAGGGGTACATAGGGGAGATACGGCAGCCGCGCACGGGGAAACGTTCGCTGGTAGGGGAAGACAAGGCAGCGACCTGCCATGAGCGATCACCGTACGACTCGGTGAGGTGCTTGGCCACATCGGTCTCGAGACCGAAGTGCTGGATAAGGTTGATGAAGAGGGTCTTGGAGTAACCGTGGGCACCAATGAGGCGCACCTGGTGGGTCTGGCAGCTACCATCGAGAACGGCACCGTCAGCAACCAGACCACTGCCTCCGACACCACTGATGTCGGGAAGGCTGGTGAGCTGGCGGGGCTTGAGCTTGAACGATTTGACTGCCTCATCCACGGCCTCCTCGGCCATCTGGCGGTAAGTAGTCCACTTACCACCGGCGCAAGTCAACAGTCCGGACTGAGAGACGGTCACCAGGTGGTTGCGGACGAGAGCCTCCGAGTTCTTCACCTTGGGATCGCGCACCAAGGGACGGATGCCAGACCAGGCAGCAAGGACGTCGCTTCGGTCGACGGTGATATCGGGGGCGATGTAGCCACGAATCTCCGAAAGAATCCAGTTGATATCCTTCTCAGTGGGCTGGGGCTGAGCCTCAATCTCACAGGGCTGGTCAGTGGTACCGGCGATGGTGTTACCCTGCCACGGCAAGAAGAAGATCACACGTCCATCCGAGGTGGAAGGGTCAATGAGACCCATGTTTGAGGGGCTGAAGTAACCGGGCAGGATGATGTGAACACCAGCACTGGGGGCCACAATCTCCTTGACATTGGGCTCATCCATCTTGCGGATGGAATCAGAGAAGGGACCAGTGGCGTTGATGACACCCTTGGCGCGAATGTTGAACTCCTTGGCGACCTCGCCGTTCTTCTCTGCGACGATGTCCTTGGCGCGCGCACCGCACAGCCTGCCGGATGCATCCTTGTTCAGTCCGGTGACCTCCAAGTGGTTCACGACAGTGGTACCGTAGAGCGCAGCGGTCATAGCGAGGGAGACGTTCATGCGGGAGTCGTTGTGAGCACCATCTGATCGGGAATTAGCCTAGATCATTTGCGGGGTCCGTGTTGGCTACTCACCATAGTACACCATTGCTCCAATGATGTTGTCACGCTTCAGCATGGGGAACGCATCAATGGCCTTACTCTTGGTGAGGAAGTACGAGGTCTCAATGCCCTCGGAACCAGCCAAGAAGTCATAGGCCTTGGTGCCGGCCCAGAAATACGGAGCCTGCCACCATTTCTGAACAGGCACCATGATTGGCAGCCATGATGACAGATGGGGAGCTGTGTTTAGGAAGTACTTGCGCTCTCTGAGAGCCTCCTTGACTAGCGCATATCTGCGATGCGATTGTTAGAAGGGATGCGCGGGGATGCGGTCATTCCGACCCCAAAATCTTTCAAAGGAAAATCTCACTGGTTGTAGTCCAACTCCCACACGGCCTTTTCAAGGTAACGGACACCACCGTGTACCAGCTTGGTACTCTTACTACTGGTACCCGAACTGAAATCATCTCTCTCCACCACCGCGACCTTCAGGCCTCGTGTGGCGGCATCTAATGCGATACCGGCTCCAGTGGCTCCGGCACCAATGACAAGCAGATCATATTCCTCCTCCTCCTCACTGCGCTTGAGGTCCTCAATCTGTTCGAGGCGAGACTTGATCGAAGGGAAACTGGGCGGGACCAGCTTGCCTTTGTAGTAACCTGGCGGAGGAACGGCAGGGGCTTCGAGGCCCGGAATATTTCGCGGACGGTAAGAAATGTAGATAACACCTGCTCCTGCGGCGGCGGCCGCCGATGTGTAGAGGAGAGGTCGCAAAAACTTGCGCGAGTGCCGAGCGGCCATTATCTGCGATTTTTCCGATGTACGGTGATGTAATGTGGTCAAATGTTCAAATATCCGGGATACTTGCTTTACAAGAATAAGCGCCGGAAGAGGGAGATCGGAGGAATAGAGGAGAAGATTGGGGGGAGGATAGGAAGAGAAGTGGGAGAGGAAGAACTGAAGGGGAGAGGCGAAGGGCGGGAAAAAAAGACCACAGCTATGAGAATTCCCTCTTTTTTTTTTTTTGGACGAACTTGATATAATAAACCTGTCAACAACAGCACATCTATGAAAGGCAAGATTTGCGACAATCTCCAAGGTACAGAGTATCGAATACTCGATCGCTACACCTTCCACTATGAATACAGGGGTGTCACGAGTACAACAAAGCTCTGCGTCATGGCCGCAGGACAGCTCACCATTGGAGCAGCGCGACAGTGGGGATTGGGCTATACCTACCTCTTCTTTCCTCATTTCCACACCAATTGGCTCGGGAACTCCGTCCGGTTTTCGACGACACATGACGCGAAGAAATTTCCCGAATTCCACCTGGACAGCTTCCCACTTGCGCTCAATCCTACCCCCAAGGACGACAATCCATATGATATCAATCGCGTCGGGAAGCCGATTCTGCATTTCATCGTTGATGCCCGGGACTGCAGATCTGTCTCAATGGGTCTGGACCTTGATCAATCTCTTCGTGGCCACCTGACTGAGAGCTCCATGGACATTCACCCAGTCACAGACAGCCATCTTGCCCCATCCGGCCCACGGAGCCCAGGGGCCCCCCGTTATGAACACCTTGTTTGGATCTACTCCACTTGCTGGGATTGCTCAATTCCCCCCTGTGCATACATATCTTTATCCTTGTTCTTATCCTTGGCCCCACTGCCAATCCCTGCAGGTTGGATTCCGGTTTTGGTCAAAAATGTCGTCTTTCTTCCAAGATATGCAGTAGCCCCACCATGGAATCTTCGGTTGTGAAATCATTTTTACCAATTGAGGCTCTTCTTTCTAGAAGGTGTTTAAAAAAGAGAAGGGAGTCCTTGCGCGAGTGGATATGATCTTCACTAGTCCCTTATGCGACAGTGATATCATACTCCGTACTATAAAAAACCATAAGTACTAGTTATTCAAAATCTAACAGAAGGATTCCCTAATTCTTAGAAAAAAGCACCCCTTCAAACCTAATTTGGAAAAGAGATCCTTCTGTTGTTAGTGGATATCTCAAATAGGGGCATTACACCACGATCTACCTAAACACAGTCAGTTTATGATATATGTCATATTCAACACAAATACAAAGGTTTGAAAGACCAAAAATTGAGAGATACTATATATAAAAGAAGCAAAACATAGAAGAGCGACGTGAACCCTCCTAAACACAATATGAAACCACAGATGATACAAGACTCAAGCAATCAAATACTAACTATAATGTACATAACTATAGGTAACATACTCCATACACTTGGTCCGCTTAGATCAATACAGTACGATATACCTTCAAACCCGTCAAGCGGAAGAATTCCGGAGTGCGGAATGCCCTCGGTTGAGCACATCGCCACAGTCTGCATAGACTGGCGGGACATGACCTGGAAGACCCGGGGTAATGTGGGGTAAGAGGCACCAAGAGACAATCACGGCTTGAACGACCTTGACAACACGGAAATGTTCCATTCACTGGAAGCCTCGACGCTTCGGCCTGTGACACCCTACTTATATATCCCCCGACCTAGGTTTACATTTCACGATATGTTCATGATATCTACAGACCTCCAAGACAAATTCTATCCCATCTAGCACCAGCACCATGGCCATCGCCGCTGTCCTGGCATCGCTACAAGGCAGCGTGACTGAGTATCCGTACCACTCGCTAGCCGCCGCAGTCCTCCTCGTCCCCGTCCTCTATGTCATTCTTAATGAGTTCATTCGTGATTCCGCCCGCGTCAAGGGTATGAAAGGTCCTCGCGGATTGCCATTGATTGGAAACCTGGCGCAGATTCGCACCAATGCCGCGGAGCAGTATCGCCTCTGGTCGAAAACGCACGGCGCCGTTTATCAGATCCAGCTGGGGAACATCCCCGTCGTCGTGGTCAACTCTGCTGCGTCGGCAAAGGTGCTTTTCGGTCAGAATGCACAGGCTTTGAGCTCTAGGCCTGAGACTTATACTTTCCATAAGGTGATTATTGGAGTTGTGTGCCTTTTGTAACTGAAACTGAAACTGATCACACTTAACTAGATTGTTTCCAATACTGCCGGAACGACCATCGGTACCTCGCCCTATAGCGAGTCCCTGAAGAGACGTAGAAAGGGCGCTGCGTCTGCTCTCAACCGCCCCTCTGTCGACACGTACGTGACACACCTGGACGTCGAGTCAAAGTCCTTCGTGGAAGAGCTGTACCGATACGGAAACCACGGGAAGACACCCGTCGACCCGATGCCCATGATCCAGCGTCTGAGCTTGAGTTTGGCGTTGACTCTGAACTGGGGCGTGCGCATCGCCTCGCAGGAAGAGGACTTGTTCGATGAGATCACCGAGGTGGAAGAAGAAATCAGTCGATTCCGAAGCACCACCGGAAACCTGCAGGATTATGTCCCGCTTCTGCGGTTGAACCCCTTTAGTTCCAATTCGAAGAAAGCCGCCGAGATGAGAATCCGTCGTGATAAGTACCTCGGCGCGCTGAATAGTGACTTGGATGAGCGCATGGCAAAGGGAACGCATAAGCCTTGTATCCAGGCCAATGTTATTCTGGATAAAGAGGCGAAGCTGAATAGTGAGGAGTTGACGTCGATTAGCTTGACGATGCTTTCGGGTGGTCTTGATACCGTCACCACTTTGGTTGCGTGGAGTCTGGGATTGCTGGCTCAGCGTCCTGATATCCAGGATCGGGCGGCTAGGGCAATCCAGGAGATGTATGGCGAGGATGATCCCATGTGTTCTCCTGATGATGATCAGAAGTGTGCGTATATTGCAGCTCTGGTCAAGGAATGCCTTCGGTATGTCCCCGGTTGTATCGCTGCCATGAGCTATGAATGGTCCTTGAACTAACCATATACCTTAGATTCTTCACTGTGCTGCGATTAGCACTTCCTCGCACCTCAATCAAGGATATCACCTACAAGGGAATCACCATTCCCAAGGGCACGGTGTTCTTCTTGAATGCCTGGGCATGCAACATGGGTGAGTCGAACTTGATATCCATCTGGCAATAGATCCAACACATCTAATCCTTCATAGACCCCGACGTGTGGACTGACCCGGATGAGTTCCGTCCCGAGCGCTGGCTCGAGCAGCCCGACGCACCTCTTTTTACGTACGGTATGGGCTATCGAATGTGCGCCGGTTCGCTCCTAGCCAATCGCGAGCTCTACCTCGTCTTCATCCGGACCTTGAACAGCTTCCGTCTGGAATCTCATGATAAAACAGACTGTCATCCTCTTCGGGGTAACTCGGATCCGACTAGTTTGGTGGCTATTCCTCAAAAGTACAAGGTTCGATTTGTGCCGAAGAATGAAAAGGCGCTGTCGAAGGCTCTTGCGCAGTGAATGTATCTATCGAGTTGGGCGGGAAGGCATTTGGCTTCTGCACAGAGCCGAATCCGGCCGTGTGATGTTCAAAGGGTATATGGCGGTCCTGGGCTAGAGCTTGTGCTTGCGCTTGCATCTCGAATTGCTGGCTCCATACAGATTCGCTGTGTTGTCGATGGAGGAGTCGTGGTTCTAAATTGATATATCCAGCATTCCCCGGTTGGACGGTTAACATCGGGTACATTCCTCAGGGTCCCCACATTGACTGACGTGGGAAATTGACATGACACACTTAACATACCCAATGGGGGATACGAATTGGGCTTTGGTAGAGATCTACTGAGGACATCAAGATGTTTTTTCTTTAAAATATCAACCATAATTCCAATTTGATTATAGGCAGTCTGGTAGATAACTAATTAGGTGAGGCACCTGAGCCTGGATTCAACTCCTTCCGATGATCATGATATATATAACAATTGGGGGGGTATAGGTTCGTGAGAAAGACCAAGTGGGAAGGCTGATCCACAAAAACAGAAAGAACAACCGTAAACATAGACAGCGCAATAATGTATATTTTCAAACAATGACGCCTCTTTTCCGTGTATGCAAATGATCAGAAGCAGAAAGCAGAAAGCAGAAAAGCAGCATGAGGGCTGCATGCATTTGGGTACCCTCGGCACCACCAGATGTGGGAGGATGGGCTCGAGAAGCACAGTTTTCGAGTTTGAATTTGGGTTCGAATTGAAATTGAAATTATGTGGTGGTCATGCGCCGTTTCAGGTCGCGGACTTGGTCGAAGCAAGATGCATAATCACGCAATTCATCCTGGAGCCGATCGGCCACATTGGGGGAATTGGGGGAATTGGGAGCGTTGCTCTTTAGCGAAGAGAGTGAGGTTTGAGAGGAGGAGGCAGATAGCTTTCGAAGGGGGTGGGCATTGACGGCCTCGACTTGAGCTTGGGCCTGGTTGATCTCAGACCAATGTGTAGACGATGCGCTCGATCTTCGTGACATTCCATCGGATGTCTCATCCAGTTCGGCTAGGCGGCACGTTTGGGAGCAGTAAGGAGCGCCCAAGGTCTGACGGTCACAGACAAGGCAGAAGTCCAAAGACCATTCAGTGGACATGGTTGTATATGTATGTTCTCGGGTTGAGGTAGGTAAAGCAAGAAATTGAAGTTGGATGTAATGTTGTAACGTTGAAGTGTTGAAGGTTGAAGGTTGCAAGGTTGCAAGATTGAGAGATTTAGATTTAGAGATAGTGAGGATAATGAGGATTGTATATAGAAGAGAATGGAAAGATCAAAGCTCAAAAGTCCGGAAGTCAAAAAGGTAAGATGTAAAGAAGCCTAAAGATCACCTCATCAAACTTGACATTGTTGAAGTGTCACACAGCGATCATGCCATACCACGCAATGGAATGAGGAAAGACAAATCGATATAAATACATGCAGCGTCCAAAGTACAAAAGCCACACGGCTATTGCGGGGAGAGATAATCGCGCATGTCGAATCCGAAGGGCACGTTGTGCTAAGGGAAAAGAGGGGGCTTGGAATTTACTCGTGCTTGGGGCGCTTAGGGAAAAGAACATTGGAAGATAATACGCAGGATACGGATGGAGGTACTTGATATCCAAGTATCGCACTTCCTATAACGTTATATACTTCTATCAGCTATCTCTCAATCAACCGAGAAGTAGGTACTTCTGCCCTAAGTACCCCCCCCAGGTACCAATGGCCTGAAATACGTGATAACCACTCCGGAGACGTACCTGTGTAGGCCCCTAACTAGCCACTAGATAGACACTAAACACACGCTAAAGAGTCTGTTCGCCCTTTTTGCCCCTAAAATCTGCAGGAACCTCGAACTGGTAATAAGACTTCTCTGCGGATCGGCATCATAGCGCCATTAGCTCTGCGTCCCGTCTCATGATGCCGGAAGAAAAACTTAGACTCTATTAACTTGTAACTATCCCCTTGTATAGTACGCAGGGTACCCTATACCCGCCAATCACATCATCGTCCATTCATCTTCCCTGCTGTGCATCTATTCCGGTACCAATGATGATCTTTGCAGTAGTGCAGAAGTTTCAAAAGGAACTAAAACTGAGGGGGAAAAAATAAATGATCCCCTTAATCCCTGTCTTCTGATTTGTCTGCCATTTCGAGATAACAATCTTTATTGCATGCGCCAAACTCTGCATAGCTGGTCACGCGAGAAACGGATTCTCGTGGATTCTCAGTTAAATCGCGCTTTCTGCGACAGATGACGAGAAGTCCCATGATTGGACCTCGACGAACTCGCCTCTTCTGATAGTGTTTTTTTCGAGGGCAAGGCCGCTCATTGGCCATTGACAGGAGCCATGTAGGTCCGAGTGCATTCTCAAAGGCAATCGCCGATTCTGTCCGCCGTACTACGTAGCCTGATACACATGAGGACGAAGATAACCGGGGAATATCTCGAACCCACGGGGTACCTATCAAACTTTCAGCCACAAATAATCCGGGTGTGCCGCAAAAGATGATATCATCCAGGGTGCTTCAGCCGGGTGGCTGAAGTCGAAGGGACTGATTCACTCGCCAGTCTTATCACGTGGCTCGGCTGGAATGCGAACCAGCGTGGATGGCAGGCGAGGATCGTTTCGTTTTTCCACATTCTTACTATCCGACTCGGGTTCGTAGAGTCCGCCTGCTTTGCCTATTACAGGATAAAATCAGTACCAGTCGTGGAATTCCAATGTCAGAAAATAGCGCTTACTCGAAGCCAAAGTGATGGCCCTGAGAACATTATCCCAGTTGGAAAGCACGTATGCAACAGCTTAAAACAGGTAGTTAGCGACCAGCCCTTGAATAGAAACAGATAGGCCAACCTTCGGTGCCATCTTTCAACGTGGAGATCTTATTATCCAAAGCTTGCATCTGAATCGCCAAGGTTCCACTCAGATCGCGTAGCTCTCGCAGGTTCTCCAGCTCGGCCTTTTTGGCTGCAATGCGGGCCGACAGTGCCGAAGATTGCTGCGATTGCGAACCACCGGGCTGGCGCATAGATGAGCCACCTGGAGCGCCTGGAAGCATTGAGCTTGGCCGTGAGGAGTATGCCATTGTGGGAGATTTGTAGCGAGCGGGACGACGAAGCAGGTACGAGGCGTGAAGAACGCGATCTGTCAAAGTCCGTATCTCTAGGGCTGTTGGATAACTCTACAAACAAAGTAAGCTGCCCAAATGACCCCCGGGCTGGGAGGGGCGCTGAGTCATCCAAACACTGAACGGGCAAGCTAAACCAAATGCGGACAAACATCAACAAGGGCTTGGCATTCGTCGCTGTTTACCTTCTCGTCTCTCTTTGTATCCCCGTACTCAGGACTCACCCCCCGACACACGTCATTTCCTGGTGTGTACTCTGTGGACTCGATATTAAAGTCAAGTTCATTCCATCTGCACACCAGGATTGTCTCTTGATCCATCTGATTACGCGGTGGTCGCTATCCCTCTCCAGCCTAGGCCATGGCTCGGTTGAATGACTATGCGGCTCCTGCCGAGTCCATTGAAGCGTGTAAGTTCGTGCAATTTACTAATATACTACAAAATTTGAGCTAGCAGTTGACATATGGCCTCCTTGTTTTCTATCTAGTGAAGCGACGATTTGTGCGACAAAATCGGGAGATCGCGAGAGTGAATTCCTTGCAATCTCTTCGTATTCGCAGCCTAGAGTCAGAAGTATCGCATCTAATTTCGGAAAATGTGTCGCTTCGAAAACAGGTCATCAATCTTACCCAGGAAACCGAACGGCTGGAAGCGGGGAAAATGTTGCACAATGGAATATACGACATCAAATCCAAGCTAGATGCCAAACTAGCCGAGTTGAGCAATTTGGCCGCAGATTTGGGCTCATTACCCCGCAAGGTGGGCAAGCTCTGCGACGCACAGTTCGATAGACCAAAACAGGCGGCAGAGTCGAGGCCTAGGACAGAAGACATGGAAGGCGAGGATGGAAGGCTTCCTGTCATTGTTGAGGACAAATATTACCCTCGGCGGACTCTGGAGTAAGAATGTTCGAGATTTTCGGCCATTCCAAATTGCTAACATCTTATTCAGGCCCCAAGAGCTTGACAGCCTGCTCCAAGACGACCAAAGCATTCTAGACTCCCCGCCTCGATTCAGCTTTATGCCGGAGGAAGGGGATGCACTCATCGAGAATTCAAGCCCATCACCACCAGAATCAACATTCAGGACCGAAATAAACAACGATATACCCGAAGAACCCGAGCCATCATTTCCTCCAACTCTCGAGACACGCAAGAAGAAAAAGAGGTCGAGTTCGATTGTTGCGCCTGAAATTAGCCCCCCGCCAACAGATCGGCAACCAAGTCCACCCATCGATACAACACAACACACAACATCGGTTTCAACGAAGCGCAAATACGTGCCCGAAGACGATGACAGATTCACTTCCAACCTTAATGTCGACGATGACGAATTCCAATTCACCCGGCCCAGCCATACCCCAAAAAAGCAAATGACCCCATTCGAAGATACACAGCGAGACCAGTCACCCACTCAAAGCCATGTTAAACTAACAAGAGGATCAAAAACACCTGTCCTATCTATGCGGAGGGTCCTCGAACCAAGTATGTTCTGCTTTCCCATCTCTACAATGAGTGTAGCTAACAACTGGAACAGAGAGTGCGAATTCCAATCTAGGCTCTCCAAAGAAGGCCCGCATGTCTTCGTACCAGGACTCTAAGCTTATGCAAAGGCCCACCAAGGGCGACGAGAATAACAACTCGCCACAGAAAGCCAAGAATGTCGAGAAACTCAGTGGTAACACCGTCAATCAAAAGCCGCGAGTGTCCAGAAGCGCCTCTTCAAACAAAGAAAAGCGCGCTCGCCCTGCCCCTCCCCAGCTGGAAGAGCCAGCCTCACGCCAGCCAGAACAGTCACCGCATCCGAATACAATGAAGACGGAGGAAGAGTCTGCGACTCGGCTTTCCCGACGTCGTGGTGCTGTGGTTAGCTATGCAGAGCCTAACCTACGGGACAAGATGCGCCGCCCTACTAAGGAAATGATCGATGCTGTTGCACTTGGATCGCGAAGATCCTCCAGTTTCCAGGCAGGCCGGGAAAGTTTGGACGGAGAGGGCGGCAACACCCAGTCTCATGGCACTCTCCCTGCCGATTTCACTCTTGCGGCACAGAGCTCAGATCTGTTCTCCGTGGATGAATCATCAGAACAGCTGCTAGCAATGGTCTCCCGGAGAAAACGCAAGGTGTCGTCAGCCCCGAAGGACGACCCCGATGTGGGGAAATCAAGCTCTGGCCTCAAGAAAGAGATTGAGGATAGCCTCGCAGATATCTCGGCCCAAGTATCACAAAAACCATTGAATTCGAGGCGTCAGCCTCGACGTCACTCGTCAAACCCCAAAAATACAACTGCAGACATGGCACAATACGACACGGACCAGGGTGAACCACAATCCCCAAACGGCGACTCTCCAGAAGATGAAGACTCATTTGGACCGGGGCCAAACGGTTCTACAATGGACAGCGATGTCAGACGTGGCCAGCGTGTTGCTGCAAGGAGAAAAAGCATGATGGTATAAAGTCCACTTTAGCGTTTCGGAACAGGATTTCTTTATCCTTTGCCTATGTACGGAGTACAATCATTATAGCCCGGACCGGGCTGCAGCTATGTTTCAGATACCCCCTCACTGCGTTCCAGATCTTCTTAATACAAATTTCATTATCTTGTCTACCCAATTCCCTCTACCTGTTTCAAGTAGACCAAGTAGTTCTTGCAGTGACCATTCAACCGCCACGCCCAATGCGGCGCGCCGGAAATGGATTCGGCATGTCCTCCCTTGACTTTTCGATCATGCCATTGTACATTTTCCTGCATGCCACCGACCGGATGGGGTGTCTCCGTCCCAGCGTCGTGCAAATGTCATACACACCGCGCATAGACATGGCGAAATACAACCCTAGATGATTCGTCTGGCCGTGCATCGGGCACCCAAACCAAACCCAACCATTAATCCCCAGGCATTTCCCAGTTCCGCCTTATCTCGCATTGCATTTCCTTGCCAATCAAAAAACCACCCCCCAAAAAATAAAGATCAAGTACCCCGCGCCTGGTTCTCATTCTGACTCTGAGTCTGGCTCTTCGACGGCTTAGGCATCTTCTCGTATGCATTCGGACTCGGCTTCCTGCGACTGCGTTTCGGTTTTGAGCCGTGGTCCTCAGGACAACACCCTTCGTGCTCGTCGTGCGGTTCCCGGTCTCCGGAGTGTGGGTGTGCGCGGCGAGCCCGGTTGACTCTGGCAGTGCGACGGTCGTCTTCACTCTCGCTCTCGCTTTCGGATGAGCTGGATGAGGACTCTTCTGAGCTACTTTCTCCCACTGGGCGGGCTTTGTGGTAGATGCAGCATACTGGTGGCGGTTAGATTGTTGGTGGTTTCGGGAGTAATTGCGGGTAGATGGAATAGATATAGGATATCCTTACTTACCCTTTGAGCTCTTTTTGCCCATGCCCTCGTTGTCTATGACATCTTCGCTCCATCGGATTCGCCGGGATGATGATGTTGCTTCGCTGGTGTCAGTTGCTTCCTCGGCTCGTAGTCTGAGGGTTGGGGGAAGTGGGCTGTTGAGGAGTCTTCTGAGGACTCTGTCGTGGTTTGGAATGAATTTGAAGCAATTGGCTGGCGTGTTCGAGACATTGTGATGGGGATAGAATAGAAGTGATGTGGCTTAGAGAGTCAAGGAATCAAAGAATCGTAGAATCACTGTGAAAGCGGCCCGGGGGCTACTTTTTCTGATGATGCAACTGATAAGGATTCACCGCCTTCCGATCTCCCCACATTAACGTACGATATGTCGCGTAGGAAGCAACGGTTCCAGTATGTCCCTGCTTATACTAGAAATGTCTGTACGGTTTACAGTTATTTTCGCCTTTTTCATCGTCTAGCTATAGAACAGAGAAGGAAGATACCTAAACAAACTCTAACTACCAAAAAGAGATGACAAGGCCACAAGCGGCCAATTATTCTTGTATCTTTTGATTGGAGATTTTTTTTTTAATCATTTAACGTTAAAAGCTATCAAACAAGCTCGCGCCTGAATAGGCAGAGAACACGTAGGACAAAATGGGTAAATCCGTTCCGTGTTGATGCACCAACCTCAAAGAACCCGCTCAGGCAGGGAAGGGGTCTGTCGCATGCCCGATAGCCAACCAAGGGGGATAAAAAGAAAAGATAAAAGAATAGATTCACACACATCTTTCCAGAGCAATGCCTCCTATGTTGTAGCGGCACATAGCTTCCCATGAGCTAGAGCTCGTAGAAGGACCAGCCGTCAAGGCTGTCATTCTGAGAGGTCAACCTTGATTCTTGCTCATGCCCAGGGGAACCAGTAGAGGCAACAACAAATTCGGTACGCAGTTCTTCGTCCAGTCATAGCTCATCCTCCTGATCCATCTCCGATGGCTTCAACAGCCCTCCGACCTTCATAGCTCGGTCACGCTCGGCAACCTGGGCATCACGCACCGCCTGTTCTCGTTCTTCCGCGTACAGCTCCGCGTTGTCATCGGAGAACTCTTTCAGAGAAATCAAGAAATCACGAAGGTGAGTCTTGAATTTGTTTAGGTCATCAGTGTATGCAAACAGCCCAATAACAAACTGCTTGATTTGTGCTCTGGTGGAGAAAGTTAGTATACTCTGGCATGGTTTCAACCGACGCCGAGGGAGCTTACTCTTGGAGATTGCCGAATGCATTGTGTAGCAGATTTGCGATGTGCTCCTGCAAAAATTCTTTGTTTGAAGTTCCAGGCGGGGCTTGCTCGGGGGAGTAGATAGGCTGCTGGATTTTGCCTGATTCCACAAAGTAGAACATGCGCGACAAAAGCATGGCCTGGGATTTGAATCCTAAAAAATCGGATTGTAAGCTTCTTGCTTCATATCCGGAGAAAGGACATTACTTACCAGCCTTGTGGTCACTATCCGTGAGGACAAAGAAGACATCCTGAAGAATTGGAATGTAGAACTCGCGGAAGAAAATGCTCGAGGTTTGCTGGTCAGTTTCGGCCATGTTGTTCATCAGCTCCAAACACATCGTAAGGCCAGTGTTCTCCACCTCGCGGTTGTCATGCTTCGACGCCCACATGCATGAATCAATGACAAACTTGAACTGCGCAGCATCGAGCTTTAGAAGTGCCTGGAAGCAGTACAGGTTGACAGCTTGAAGCAATTTGAAGAACTCGACTCGGTGCTCAGGGTATTCGTGGAAGTCCTTGTTGATCATCTCAAGAGTGCAGTTGAAAACACTGTCCATGATGGCTGGAATCTTATCCTCCATCAGATTCTAATTGACATGTTAGCAGGCCATCAAATAAGGGCACCAATAATCAGCAGGGAGAAAAACATACGTGAAGTTTGTGGATGATCGTAGTCATGGCATTCAAGACCTCAGCCTCGCGTGCATCGGGGACGTTCCGGGCATAATCGATCAGTACAGCCTCCATGAGCGGCGGTACCATGCTGGCATTGACCATCTCAAGATCATCTGACTTGTCCACGTAGGTGTCAATGAGCTTCAAGATTTCTTTCTTGATGGTCCGAAGTCCTCGGACCTTGGGGGTTTTGGGTGCAATAGCTCCTATTTGTGTGTCAGTAAGAAATTCGGTGTCCGTCAACGTGAATTGGATTAGTTACCATCACTTGCAACAGCATCATTAATCAGCTGACTGGCAGCACGGTACATATTCAACATGTCGTGATAGATCCGACCAATTTGAGAATAAAAGTAGGTCCCAATCGAGGAGCAAGCTGCGACATTAGTCTTCATGATGTTTCCGACAATCTTGATGGTGTTGGCGTCTTGGAGAATCGCCGGGTTTTGGTTTGCCTCCGCAATAATCTGATCCCAGGCGGTGTTAGGGAGCGCCATCAAGTTCTCGGTCAAGCGGTCTTGGAGACCCTTTTGACCTTGAGCCGAAATCATGTAGCCACAAGCTTCGTAGAAGGTATGAATCTGTTGCGGGGAAAGGTCCATGGTGATCTTCCTCATGTTCCGTACAATTTCTTCGATAAAAGGTTCACTTTCACCAGGTTGGAGCGCCACAAAATGGCGTCTGCACTTGTTGGCGATCTTGATGAACGTGTCGCAAGCCATATCCTGGACACCTTCGTGCGTCTCGTGCATAAACTCGAACAACTTGTTGACGACCGTCTTCAGGAACTTCCAGTGAGCCTTCAAGAACCGGGGGTATTGTCCCACGATGTACATGATGTTACTCGCCACCACAGCTTTGTTGTCCTTCCCGCGCTTCTGCTCTGTGAGGCCCAGGAGATCCTTGATTACGGTAACCAGGAAACGTTTCTCGGTTTCCTCGTTCATGGCTCCAGAGATCGAACCAATAGCCCAGCACAGCGTGTTGCAGTTCACCCACGACCATTCGGTTCCATCAACTTGCTTAGCCAATTTATCCACCATGATAGTCTCCGTATCGACCACATCAAGATGGGTCAGGTAGACCAAGCACTCACGTATCGTCTTGTAGAGTTGAATGGTATCACTTTCCTTGACGAACTCGCGCACAATTTCACCCTCATCGTTTTCAACAACCAAGACCTCCTCTGGGCGGACCATCTTCTCGATCATCACGGTGCGAAGGTTTGTTAAGACAGTCTCGTACTTGTGCTTGCGCAATGGGTAGTTCGCTAGGGTCGTAGGATTGGGAGCACCACCGTTCGCCAAACCACTAACGCTCATAGAGACCAGCGGGTTGATGTCGGTGATTGGGAGCTGCTGCATCTCTTCGTAAAGTTCTTGCACGAGTCTTGTCCAGTAGTCCAAGCAAATCTTGAATACCTCCCGATCGTCAATCTGGCTGACCCGAATCAGATAGAAATGTGCGTGCGTGAGGTAATCTTGATTAGGCAACTTTTCAATAAGCTATAGAAGAAAGAAAAAGTTAGCATCAAACAGAATAAAAAACATGGTTGGAGAAAAGGAGGAGCATACATCAAGGTGAGCACTGAAAAAGCTCGAGAGGAACAAGGCCAAGTTCGATACAAACTCTTGGTCTCGTCCATTGCTCATGGCATACGTCTGCTTCAGGTCCAAGGACAGAGGAATGACATTGGAAACGGTGGTCAGGGTCTCGGTGAACATGTGCACCAATCGTTCGTCATAGTTGTAAGGAGCGCCAATTTGCAAGCCACCAATCTCAGTCAGACACTTCAAGGTCACATTTCGGAACTCGGGTTCTCCGAGGAATCGGGTGAGGAGGGTGTTGATGATGGGGGTTTCGAAAATGTAGCCCAACGGGATCCAGTTCAAAAATCGAAGGAGCGTTTCGAGGGTCGCTTTCACCAGACTGGGCTGGTTGGCAGTGCTGAGAACCTCGGAGCACAATTGGAAGATCGATGCAAATTCCGAGGTCATAGAGGTCTTTAAGTTCCGTGCCTTGGCAGAGGTCATTTGGTCTTGCGAGAAATCGAAGACTTCTTCCGACAACAGACGGAGAATTGTCATGTTGTTTTCACAGATCGAAAGGCTGGCATGGCAAGAGGAAATAATCTCGTTGATGAAGGTGGGCCAGTTGTGCGGCCATTCTTGCTTCAGAATGGAGACAAGAACGAGATTGAGCTTGTTCAACAGAGGGCGCTCCGCTTGGATCTTCTCTTCGGATTCGGAGTTTTCGAGAATGAATCGCACAATAAAATTGCGGATACCTATGAAGAACGTCCTTAGTATGGAGGCAAAACGACGAGGTCAATGAATGTAGTGCTTACCCTGACATTGGTCTCTTGGTAGGACCTTCCATCGGGTCATAATCACATTGTCTAAGACTTGGAGGGCAATGTCTGTGAAGGTCAGCAAGTGTTTCCCAGGCATTTCCAGGCACAAGGGAGATTGCCAAAGACTCAAGACACACATTTGGTTTGAAGGTATGAAGCCTCTTGGAGGATATTGCCCACGGTGACCCAGGCATCGGGATTTTGCTTGAACTAATAGCCCAGGGATCATTAGTGTTCAATTCATATGACGTTGTGGAGGGGCTATGCGCTTACTTCTGTCAAAGTCTGCTGTGCTTGGTTTTGCTAGACGGTTCTCAGTGTCAGTGCTGTTGTCCCCAGAGCTTCGCTGAGGATACACAGAATCCATGAATTCTGCGACCCAAGCTGTGTAGAGCAGACAGGTTCAACTTACCACCGCACCTTTGCCTTCAAACAAAGCTCGGACCGTGTTGTCCAGCTCTTGTACCGAAATCGACATCTCGGCGCAGACTGGCGATATCGCCTCTGATGACGGAATAGGGTTTGAGACACGAGAGTCAAGAGGGGAGGATGATGGGAACCGCCTGGACAGGTTATGGTATTGCCAGGGCGGCTGCAGGGCAGTATCAAATGATAGAGGGGAATAAGAAGCAAGTGTGTTCGGTGGGGTAGAGATCCTTTGGAGGGGTTGGGGGATCAGCACGATGTCAGGATGAGAAATGATTGGACGGGGGACTAGAGGAGGTGAATCCAGGTCAAGACTTACCAGACTCTGAAGGCAGTAAAAAAAACAGGCAGGAAAATTGGGGGTCAAAAAAGGAAGCTATCGTAGACTCTGGCGGTGAGAGCGCGTTGGATGTTTGAACTTGATCTCTCTGTTGAGATCTTAGTCAGCATGCGATCCCCCACCGCCCGGGGATACCGCCCAGGGATCATTTACC